ATCAGAGTTCTCTTTTCCCTAATGGAAGCCCCATGCACGCATGTCTCATGCATTGGACTTTTAGTTAGAACACCATCTTCACCTGGGCCATCAGCTTCCAAGGTGAGTAGCAATGGTGAGAAAGGACCTAGCTCATTTCAGAAGCACAAGAAGGGCATTTTTTATTATTTATTTCTTTATTTTTAAAGATTTTATTTATTTATTTGACAGAGAGTCACAGTGAGAGAGGGAACACAAGCAGGGGGAGTGGGAGAGGGAGAAGCAGGCTTCCCGCGGAGCAGGGAGCCCGATGCAGAACTCGATCCCAGAACCCTGGGATCATGACCTGAGCCGAAGGCAGACGCTTAACGACTGAGCCACCCAGGCGCCCCAAGAAGGGCATTTTTTAATTGACCTAACTACATTAAGCTTCTCATACCTGTTGGATTTGGCTACCAGGTGGTTCATTGAAATGAAAGCGGGTCCCGCACTGACTTCTGTCATGCATCAAACACTTGTCTTAGGTAGAAGGCACAAGAGCAGTCATTCAGCCTGTTCCTGTGAGTTTGGGAAGTCCCAGCCGTCTGTCTATAGGGCACGACAGGTACCGCCAGACAGGTTTACTTGGGGCAGGTACCACAGCATTCAGCAGGATTGACCCCCCTACCTGTCCGATCAATGGCCAAGGGATAGAAGAACCTTCTGAGGAGGTGGCAAATGGTCTATTTCTTGATCTGGGTGGTGATTATTTCAGTATTTGCAAATGTAAAATTTCATAGAGCTGTCTGTGTGCTTAAGACTTGTTCACTTTACTATACGGAAGTTATGCCTCAATAAAAAAGATAAGGGGGGAAATGAATTATTGGCCTTAAGTTGTTCACAGCGTCTGAGCAGGGAAACTGTTACATTTTATACAAGCCCCTTGAGTTAGAGGTTTTCCATGGAAGGGTCACTGGGAGAGGAGAAAGCACCACAGCTCTTTCAGAGGTACCCTCATCATCATCATCCATATACCCCTGAATCAGCGGCCCTGGCCCCTGGCCAGTATCTGTCATCCCTAAGGGCTTTTTACTAGGTCTTCCCCATTTTACTAGGTCAGCACTGTGAAGTCAGCTTGTTGGAGTAGGAGACACCAGTCTTCTGTATGACTCCTCCTTGTTAAGGTCCTCTGTCTTGGGACTCCTGTCAGGGTCTTCCCTCTGAGGACCCGCAGGCCAGCCCGTAGGGCCCCGTAGGTTGACACAATAAGTACCTCATTCCACACGACCACCTCATTCCTGGGCCACCTTAGTCTCAGGCCTCTGTTGCCTTCGTGCTCTATTCTACCCTGTTTTAAGTATTTCCTTTTCCCAGAATTTGATCTCTTTTGCCCTTTAAGCCGTAAGTGGACCGAATTTTAACTAATGATTGTAACTGAATTTCTGATGAGGCTAGGCTGGAAGGTTCTGGGGGATGAAACAAGATCTGTTTCCCTAGGTGATAATCCCAGACTCACTCGGGGATGGATGTGGGAGGGGCTGGAGTCGCACCCTTTTTTTTTCCCTGGAGGAGAAAAAGAGGCACTGTGGTACTTCTGGAGGCCTTACCTCAAAGTACCAACTTAAATTATGGGGTTTTGGCCTGCGCCCAGCCCTGGCTCTCGTAGCTCACTCCTCCAAGGTGACCTTCGGCAGAGCTAAGTGATAAAGATGACCCTTCATACCAGTTGCCTCTGGGACAGGGTTATTGTGTTTTTAATTTGGCAGTTTCAGAATTGCTGTGACTCTGTATTGCCCGAGTATTCCTTTCTGCCCCTTCTGCACACGTTACAGACCGCCCGTGGTCCCGCGCTCTCCCTGTCAGAGCCTCCGCTTTTAAAGACATGACAAAGACGCTGGCGCGCACACACACACACACAAACCCTTTGTTGGTGTTCCCGATCCACGTGGAATCGGTTGTCATGGCAACAGCTGCCCCCGCACACAGTTCATCCTTTGGGGTTCCCGTCATGTTTTCTTTTCCCTCTCTTTCTTCAACGGCAACAGCCAACGTGCTATTAAGCCGACTATTAATATATCCGTACAGCCTTTCTTGGCAGTTTTGAACTCGACTACATTGACTTCTAACTTCGGGTCCAATTAGCCACGCCCCATAAGGGAAGCTAACTTTGCGAAGAAAGAGGCTGGTGTTGGTTTGGTTTTAGTCTTAGTTATTGTTGGATCCAATATGTATGCATACAGAGATTTGGGGGGTTTCTATGAAAGCAACATGCGAATTGAGTTCTCCAGCTACATGTACCTTAATTTTATTTTCTGACATGATATTTCTCGTTGTCCTGGTTTTAGCTGATGGCTTTAGCATACTCATTTTTTTTGTTTTTATTTAAATTCCAGTTAGCATACCGTGTAATATTAGTTTCAGGTGTACAATGTAGTGATTCAACACTTCCAATACAGCACCTGGTGTTCATTAGCATACTCGTTTTTAAAGAACTAAGTGTTAATGAAAGGCATAGGAGATTGAGTACTTATAATTAACCAAAGGTTTAAAATAATATCTAACTACCTGGGTCCTGGACAATTATATAACATGCTTCTTTTAAAATCAAGACTATGTGGGGGCGCCTGGGTGGCTCAGATGGTTAAGCGTCTGCCTTCGGCTCAGGTCATGATCCCAGGGTCCTGGGATAGAGCCCCGCATCTGGCTCCCTGCTCAGTGGGGAGCCTGCTTCTCCCTCTCCCACTCCCCCTGCTTGTGTTCCCTCTGTGTCTCTCTCTGTCAAATAAATAAATAAAATCTTAAAAAAAAAAAAAAAAGACTATGTGAGCACTAAGAACCAGATAGATTGGATATATATATTTTTTTATTGTTGTTAACATGTTTGGGAAAGTTACAGAGTTTATTTGAACTTAGTGTGTCAAATAAAAGGCTGGCCTTGGGAAGCCAAAACCAAACATGTTAGTCACCCTTAACTCGGGGCTGTGGATGAAGGCAGCGGTTGAAGGAATGGGGCAGGGCCTCTGCAAAGCTGGCTTACGAGCTGCTCCCTCTTAGTCTTTCTAGGCAGCTCCTCAGTTCTGCTGGGTCCCAGAGTTGGGCAGTAACTGTTATCACCAGGCCCGGCTATTAAAGCGTGCTCATTTCCAACACCAAGGTTAAAGGCCTGGCATCTGGCCTGAATTCAGTCTCTTGCCAGCTGCGTGATTGGGCAAGTTACCTAACTTCTCAGAGACTCCATTGTTTCCTCTGTAAAAGAGAGATAATCTCCTCCCATCAGACTGTCGATTAAATGAGATCATACACTGTGTATGGGAAACTCTTACTATAGGACCTGGCGGTAGGTAGCGTGGACTCAAAGATGATTATTGATTCAATTACTAGGATACTCTAGATGATGTGGGAACTTCTGTTTTCCTTCATAATTTTGTCACACTTTGTAATAGTGTTTTTAGAAGATGTCTCCAAAACCTTTGGTAGAACAAATCTTCCACTCCATCCCTCTGAAAAAGTTTTTTTAAATTACACTATAATACGGGGCGCCTGGGTGGCTAAGTTGGTTGAGCGACTGCCTTCAGCTCGGGTCATGATCCCAGGGTCCTGGGATCGAGCCCCGCATCAGGCTCCCTGCTCCGCGGGAAGCCTGCTTCTCCCTCTCCCACTCCCCCTGCTTGTGTTCCCTCTCTCGCTGTGTCTCTCTCTGTCAAATAAATAAATAAAATCTTTTTAAAAAAATTACACTATCATACATATAAAATAAAATCAATTTTCACACATACAATTTAGTGACATTTAGTCACAGTGTTGTACAACTATCACCATTATCTAGTTCTAGAACATTAATCACCCTAAAAGGAAACCTCATAGCCATACCCTATTTCCCAATTCCCCCAGCCCTTGGCAATCACTGCTTGGCCTTGTGCCTCTATGGATTTGCCCACTGTGGTTATTTCATATAAATAGTAACATACATATGTGGTCTTTTCTGTCTGGCTGCTTTCACTTAGCATAATGTTTTTAAGGTTTATCCTTGTTGTATCATGTATCACTATTTCATTACTTTTAATTCCTGAACAATATTCCATTGCATGGTTATGCAGTCTTAGTCCATTTGGGCTGCTATAACAAAGTGCCACAGACTGGGTGGCTTAGAGGCGACAGGAATTTATTCCTCACAGTTCTGGAGCCCGGGAGCCCAAAATGAGGATGCCAGCATGGGCAGAGGGCCCTCTTCAGCTTGTAGACTTATTGTATCCTCACAGGGCAGAAGAGGCTAGGGAGCTCTGGGTCATCTTCTTTATAATCAATTCCATTCATAAGGGCTGTGCCCTCAGGACCTAAGTACCTGTCAGAGGCTGCACCTCCTATTGCTATCACATTGGGTTTAGGATTTTTAACACATGAATTTTAGGGGGACACAAACATTCAGACGGTGTATGCTATCTGTTCATCAGTTGATGGATGCTGGGTTGTTCCTACCTTTGGCTACTGCCAGTAGCTTTACTATGAACCTTCTTGTACAAGTTTTTGTTTGAACACCTGTTTTCAGTTCTTTGGGGTATGTACCTAGGAGTGGAATTGCTGGATCAGATGATAATTCTGCTTAGCTTTTTAAAAAACTACCAAACTCTTTCTAACTATGCTGTACCATTTAATATTCCTACCAGCAATGCCTGAGGGTTCCAGTTTCTTCCAATACTTGTTATTTTCCATTTTTAAAAAAAATTATACTTATCATTTAGCAGGTGTGAAGTGGTATCTCATTGTGGTTCGGGATGGTTTTTTATAGTACTGATTTTGTATGTGTCTGGACTCAAATTTTCTTACTACTGTTCTTAATTCTGGCAAAACTACATGAAAAACCACCTATACATAATTTCCAAGAAAAGATGGGTGTAAAGCATCTTTTCCTTCACAGCTCCTGATATAACCATGCATCATGGCTCTGTAATCTGTACTGTAGACAAACCACTTGCAGACAGTCAGGGGCTAATTACAGATGGTGTCTGAGGCCTCTGACCTTCTCTGTAATCCTTTTCTTTTGCTTTTAGAGATTTCCTCTGGGTCATCCAAAATGCCTTTAAACGTATTGGATAAGAACTGAGCCACCTGCCCGTGTGCGACTTCCGTACTCTCAGCTCCACTGTCTTCTGATGGCATTTTGACTGCATCGAGACCAAGTGACCCACTGCTCATGATGAGTGACGAGAAGAACCTTGGGGTGTCCCAAAAACTGGTCTCACCTTCAAGGAGCATAAGTAGCTGCTCCTCCAAGCAAGGAAGTCGACAGGTAAACTTTAACCGATGCAAATTTTAAGATGCAAATTTATACTAGGAAATTGGCAGATTAAGATGTGTGCATTTACTTGGGACCTCCTGCTTCTCAGTGGAAGAGCGTTGGCTTTCAGCCATATCTTAATTGTATGAGAAGAGTAAACTTTAGGTGCTTTTCATAATGCAGCTTGAGTGCTTACCCGATGGGAAGGAACTGTATTTGGCTCTTTGCATTATTTTATCTGATCCTTGCAACTGTCTTCCGACACAGATAGGAATATCCCTATTTTCTCCATGAGGAAGCTGAGTCAGACCAACTGAGTTCTTTGCCCAAGGATACACTGCTAGTAAGTGGCAGAACAAGAAGTCAAAACTCAGTCCAACTCCAGAGCCCACACTTTCCTTTGTACCCTACTAACCAAAACAAAGGAGCAGTCACTGTCCCAATAAGTTTAATATCCTCCTGCCCTCTTCATCCTTCCCCTTCCCAAGCCTTTTATGACCGCTTCCCCCACAGATTGCCATGTGGGTGACTTTGAGTCTCCCCTGCTTTCTTTCTCCACCGGATAAGGGAATCAAAGCCACAGAGAAGTGGGCAAAAGGAATTCAGTAGGAAGAAGAAAGAAGTGAAGCAAAGACCTGGATAATTAACTCCTATCTAAGCACCAGCCGTAATGATATGTTGTTTTTTGTTTCTCTTTCTAACACATGTCCGTTGGCAGAACTCGCTGGCTTTAGGTCAGTGGTGGTAAATGCATGTTAATCATTCTAATTCTCTCACCTTCAGTGACGTAGAGAGTGGGCTGTCAGGAAGCTGTGGGTTCCCGACCACCTTGGTCCCTGAGCCTTTTCAGCATCTGCCGGTTTTGCTGGCATTGCCTTTCCCCCACCAGAAGCGCTCGCCCAAGAATTGGCCCCGAGTCCTTGGTTCCAAATTTGGAAGCAACAGTCCGGCAACCTCCCACCTCAGGCACGTCTGCATATTTCTGACGCATTGTCATGCGTCTCTCCATGTGAACATCGCCTGGGACAGGGAGCTTGTTCCTTCACAAGGCCGCTTCGTGTCATTAGAATCTACGAGTCTAGACAGATCAGATTTTGCCCCAGCCTGGACATTTGGGGCGCCCTCCAAGATCTCCTGTGAGGGGTTAGGAAGAAAAAAATTTTTAGCACTGTAATCACTTCTGTCTGGGATTTTAAAAAATGACTAAAACTAGTCCTTGGCTAAGGCATCGTGGTCCCTTTGGAGTCCTGGCTTCAGAAAGTTGACTCTACACTCACCCTCCTTGTCAGCTTTCCACGGGGGTGTTTCTCTCCCTAAGCCGAGGTTCTGGTTGGGATTAGAGCCTGAATGTGTGAGCTTTCCCTCACCCTTTGTACGTAGTAGCATCTCTTGCTATGTACTTCTTGGATAAAGAGAAGGAACATGATTCATTTAAACTGCTGGTGCTTATAACACCATAGGAATTGGAGCAGTGCTGTGACATTCTACAACTGAATACTACAGACACTCTTTTGGTGTGTTATTTGAATTGATTGATTTGGTTTTCACAGAGCTTCTTTTGAGCTTGTCATGAAGAGTGAAAGGAATGTGTGTGATGCCTCCATTTTCTTCTCACTTAGAATGGTTGGCCTTTCAGCTATTCATTCATCAAATGGTCATCTTTTATATTTAGGATCTCCCACTTTAAGGGACATGTAATGTAGCTTTGTAAACATAAACACTTCTGTGGCAGAGCAGGTGGAGAATTTAATAACTTTATTCCAATCCTAGACTGAATCTAGTTATAAAGGCCATGTTTAATTTCAGGGACCATTTTCTTATTCTGCCCACTTTCCCATCCTTCTGTCAAAGAGAGGTGTTCTGTTGCAGGAGTGGCTTAGGTTTTCCATCCATATAGTCCACCTTGGCAAGCTGTATCCGTTCTGCCATCACAAGCTGTCCCAAGATTGTCTTTCATTCTCTAAAGGTGCTGGGGAGGTACAGGAACCTTGGAAGTTCAACCTTCATGGCTCCGAGGGAACAGAGCCGTACCCTGTGGTCTTGTAGATGCTAAAGAGTGACGCTGTGTTTCCAGTCACTTCACTGGAAAGTACAAGTTCAACACTTAAAACTTCAAGATTTATGGAATAATACATTTAATGTGAGGAATGTTGAACTCTAACTGATAAAGATAATCTGTTCAACAACCTACTCGTTTTTAAAGCTCCAGTTTAAAGTCACTATTAGGCTGTTTTCTTCATTTCATGGTGGGGGCGGGGGGTGGATAGGCCTGATGTTGACTGTATTGGACCCTCTTTAATGCTGGTTTTTCTTCTGTGCTTTGGAATTTTGCTTTAGAGTATCATCTTGAGTTTGTTTCCCCATGTTCTTTCCTTGCACTCACCCTGCCCCATTTAGGGATTTGCTATTACCTGCTTCTTACCTCCGAGGACCCCAACCCAGAGTCAGGGGTTATATTTGCTCTTGGGGGCTTCTGTTCCATGTCAGTGATAGAACATCCAAGATCCACCACCAGGTCAGCACACATGGCCCAAGTCTGGTTGTGAGGCTGTGTCTGCCTTCTGCCACCTCCCTGGATAAGGCAAGTTTTAAAGCCCCCTTTCATTGTGTGGAGCTCCCCCTCAGCATTTGCTTCTTTCCAGCAGTGAGGCTAGCTCAGGTCTCATCCTTTTCCTGTGGACATTTTTAGCCCCAATAGCCCACAGAAGTAGGACTCCTGGACACTTCTGTCTACAGTTTCTTTTGCATTTCTATTTTGTGTTTGATCCATGGAGATATTTAAATTTTTTTTTTTTTAAATCACGCAGACACACACGCAAAAGCCCCTACATCTTTGTAACTTTGTATTTTTGCTGTTTTGGAGCTGGGGCGGTTATAAGAGAGGGGCACTGAATGCACAAACTTTTAATATAGTTTTGGCTGAAAGACCCGGTCATCTTAAGTCATTTTACTTAAATTCTCCTCCAGCATCACTAAGTGACATTGAGAGTCTGTGTACTCCAGCCACACTAGCTTTCTTTCGGTTCTTTGCAATGAACTTGCCCTTGTCCTTGTTTCTTGAACTGAATTTGAACTTGTCCTTCCTATCCCAGAGCCTCCCCTCATGAAATCACAAGGAGCTATGCATTTATGTAGAGGTATTCCCTATCTATAGTCTTGTTAGAAGAGCTTGCTTCCTTGAAGGACAGAATGATCAAGAATTGTGATCTGTATCTTTGTTTTTACTTCTGACCTAAGACAGAGTTTACAATTTAGGACCACGAATACCCAAGAAGGGTTCTGTCATCTTTTAGCTTAAATACTAGGGCTTTTGAAATTTAAATATAGCATGCCTCATTTTGTCAGTATGGAAACAACTTGCAAATATAATCTTATCAAGGTAATTTTGAGAGGACTGTATGCATTAGTGATTAGAACTTGAACTCTCCAGCCTTGGTTCCACCCATTCATTGGTTCTCTGACCTTAAACTCTTAACCTTAAGCCTCTGTTTTCTCATCAGTAAAATTGAAATAATAATAGTTCTTTTCACATAGGATTATTGTGAGGATGAAAACTGAAGCATCTAATCCAGGGTCAGACTCATAATAGGTCCTGAGTTAATATTAACATTCATTTTTGTTATTATAGTTAACATTAATTTGAACTTCATTCTTATTTATGGAAAATATAAATGCTCATAGAGAATAGTTCTGCTTTTTGCCCCTAGAAAATTCTACAGGCATTATACATGTATCTACTCCTGTATCTACCCAGTACTCGTTAGTATTATACAAAGGCCCACAAAGTATACAATGCATATATGAATATATACTTTTTTTTTTAAGATTTTATTTATTTATTTGACAGAGAGGTAGAGAGCACAAGTAGAAGGAGTGGCAGGCAGAGGGAGTGCTGAGCAGGGAGCCTGATGCGGGGCTTAATCCCAGGACCCTGAGATCATGACCTGAGCCAAAGGCAGACGCTTAACTGACTGAGCCACCCAGGCGCCCCTGAATATATACTTTTAAAATAAAAAGTGCCTTCCTTTATACACATTAACAAAATGCTTTTATTTATTTATTTATTTATTTATTTATTTTATTTTATTTTTTTTTTGAGAGAGAGAGAGAGCGTGCATGGGTCGTGACAGAGGAGAGAGAGAGAGAGAGGATCTTAAGCAGGCTTCATGCCCAGTGCAGAGCCGAGCACATGGGCTTGATCTCATGACCCTGAGATCCTGATGTGAGCCAAAATCAAGAGTAGGACACTTAACTGACTGAGCCACCCAGGCGCCCCCAAAATGCTTTTAGAGAAGAATGTAGTAGAATATTTAATATTCGGGCTGTATTTGGTACCTTCAATACCTGGCATAATCCATACCTAAAACAGGTGAAACGAGTTGATGAATCCTTACCCTTTTCTGTTCTGCCAGGCCTTGTCCTCTCAAGGGTATACATTTTTTTTTCTCTACCCATGCCAGCACCTATCTATTGGCAGTAGCTGCTTAGAGCCTTGTGTTGAGAAGGATTCTGCAGCTGAGTCTGACTGTTGTGAGAAAGAGTGCCCTGTTTGCCACTGTGGCTCATGGGCATAGACAGGATGCATGGCAGCAAGGGTCGTCCCACAGTGATACTGGAGGGTTGAAATCAAGCCATCTCTGCTATCGTCTTTATATTATGTTACTGAGGAACTTTAGGCAAGTGAGGTTTGCCTCAGTTCTTGATCCATGAAATGGAGACAAAACTCACCTCCTGCTTCCTTTCCAGGGTTGTTTTGAGAGAAAGTTGAATGTTTTTACTGGCTAAAAGATGTTGAATCTATTTGGAGAAAGATCCTCTGTAAATTTAAGAAACTCTTAACAATTACAGATGAGCTTCCTTTGAACTCAGGCCAGTTCCAGAGCCAGAACTGAAAATGGTCTTGTTTCAAGAACCCTGACAGTCGGCGGATGAAATGGATCTCTTTGAAGAAGAGCAGAGCATCCTTCAGATATAGGGCCTTTATCTGTAGGATAGGAACCTGTTCTCCCTGA